GACCCTTTCCTTGATGTCCTCCAGCAATTCAATCACCACTGGTGTCCCTGTGACCATCCTCGTCGTATTCCTCGTCATACAGCTCAATACTGCGGACCTCATTAATGTGTGACTGAATCATGTCCAAAGCTTTGGCGGCGGTCTGCTCCTCATTCTGAATCTCCAATGCTTTGTCATGAAGTGTCTTCAGTCGTTCCTGTAGCTGGTCTCGTCTCGCTCTGAATTGTCCTGCGTGCTAGCCTTGGCCGTGAGCTGAATCATGTATTTCAGAATCCCTATCTCAATAATGACTTCATCGGCTCGGCGTCCCGCAGCTTTGGCTGCGATTCCCACGGCAGCAAGCGAGTCGATGTGGCGATGAACCCTGGATTCGAAATCCTTGATAGCTTCAATGTCCTGAGGCGGCGGAGGTTCTTGAAATGCACGCGCCTGTTCGATGGGCAGTGCCAGCAACTCCGCTCTGGTGATCGGCACAATTCTAGAAATGTACATCCGTACTGCCTTCGGTCGTACCGTTCTTTCCTCTTTGCCCTTGCCCTTGCCTTTGTCAGCTCGGGTTCTCGACTGGCTGCAATGACGTACATATTGCCACGCATGGGCATTTCCTTTTCTGGTAATTCGTATCGAAGTGCTGACCACATAGGCATGTCCAATGATGGCCCTTGGCCTCGCGTGCACATGAGAAGCACCACCAGGCCTTGCCTGGGCAAGGACCATTGTTTCTTGCACCATGAGGCGGCATTTGTCTGGAATGATGTGCCGAAAGTAAGGTCTACGCCTGAAATAATATCAATAATGCTCTAGCCCTTCCACGAGCTGTTCTCTGTCTCCGACGCCACGCTGGTTCAGTTACCGCCCTGCGTCCAGCCGTGGTGAACAGAGGGAGTGTAGCAGAGATGCACACTGAAATGTAGATAAGAGAAAAAGCGCGGACAGACCCGCCTGGGACCCTGGCTGCCCCAACCTGGCTGGCACCCCTGAAAGTACAGTACAATGGTTTTGGGTGCCTGCCAGGCTCTCTGGAGCCCAGATCTTATCCGCCTCCTCCTCCTCATCCTCCTCCTCCCCCTCCTCCTCCTCCTCCTCCTCCTCCTCCTCCGCCCCCTCCTCCTCCTCCTCCCCCTCCTCCTTCTCCTCCTCCTCCTCCTCCTCCTCTCCTCCTCCTCCTCCCTCCTCCTCCTCCTCCTTTTCCTGCTCCTCCTCCTCCTCCTCCTCCTCCTCCTCCTCCTCCTCCTCCTCCTCCTCTTCCTCCTCCTCCTCGTCCGTCTCCGCCGCCCCATCTTCCTCCTCGTCCTCCTCCTCGTCCTCCTCCTCCTCCTCCTGTTCCTGCTCCTGCTCCTGCTCCTGTTCCTGTTCCTCCTCCTTTTCCTCCTCCTCGTCCTCCTCTTCATCCTCCATCCTCCTCATTCGCCCTCTGTCTCCCAGCGTTTCCTCACAACGCCTCGCTTGAGACAACCTGACGATCTGCACAAGTGGCCGGGCAACAAAACAATGAAACCGTTTCAAGCATCCCCAAACTTGGCGCGAACGAAACCGTGGAAACACCCTGGCGGCTCCCCCATGGGAGCGTTGAAATAAAAGCGTCGCTTGAAACATCCTCAGTCTGGTATGAGAGCACCAAAGTTCAAGCCACCAAACAAGCAAGGCACCCGTGAAAGCGCCCGGACGGCCCCCGCTTGGGATCATTGAAATAAACGTTTCGCTCGCGGCCTCCCCCAAACTTGCCCCGACATGCATACGAGTGAGCCTATATACGTAAGAATTTGAGTGAGAATGAATATAGGTGCGAGTTGATGTGACTATGAGTATGATCGCGAGTACGAATAGGATCATGAGTATGAATATGAGCACGAGTACGAGCACGGGTAGAAATAGGAGCGTGGGCATGCGCATGAGTAGGCATATGAACATGAGTATGGGGATGGCTACGGATATGAACACGAATCCGCGTACGAGTACGCGCACGGATACGAATATGAATGCGATGATGATTATAAGTCAGATTATGAACGTGAGAATGGGTATGAATATGAGTACGGTTAGAGACTGAATACGGCATTAACTACGAGTACAAATATGGGTATGAGTACGAATACTAGTATGCGAAATAATACGACTATGGGTATAAGTATGGGGAGACATTTTTATACATCGGATGAACAACCACCCATCTACCACTACTCAGTGCAACGGCCAGGCTGCAATGCAGACGACCAGTGCGCGTTTCGAACCAAAACCGCGGCCCCCAGGATGCGCCGCGCCGAACGACGGAGGTGGACGGCAGATTCCCGCGCCCATCCTGCACGCTTCAACGGCTCTGGCGCAACGACAACAGCACACCGCCACGCGATGGACAGCAGCAGCAAAAGCAGAGAGAGGAAGGCAGGCAGCGGGGAGGAGCGGGGAGAACAAACAGGAAGGGAACCAGCAGCAGAGCAGGCAAAACGACGAGCAGCACGGAGACGAGCAGGAGAGCGAGCAAGAGAGGAAGCAGCTGAGCACTGACGGGGGGAAGGCGGAAGAAGGAGGGAGTCCACGACAAGCCACGCGCAGCAGCAGAGGACGGGAGGCAAGGAACTGCCGGCGAACGCAACGCGTCATTGAAAGAGACATGTGGAAGCGCGAACCGCCTGCCCCGCAGAAGACCTAGGCTGCGTCAGCGGGCGGCTAAGGCCACCGCAACGTTTGGGCTTCGCGCGCACACGCAAAGAAGGGGGGAAGGGGTTGGAGGTCAAAAAAAGGAAGAGGAAGAGGAGGAGAAACTCTGTCCGCGCACTCAGGGCTGGCTGTTGCAGCCCAGTTGAAGAGAACGGGGAAATGAGCGGAGCCGACCTAAATACTCAATTGATCGCCCGCGGGCCTCCCGAACGTAGCCGTCGAAAGCTCCGACGACGTCCTGCTGCGTGAATCCGCCGTGGCGCCACCCGCTGTGGACACGGTACAAAATACACACGGACACGGCACAGTCGACCACGGCGCGCTCGCCTGGATGGCGCCCGTCCAATCCCATGAGAGCGTCGCGCTTCAGACCTGGACGGAGTCAAAATTCGTGCCTGTGGCGTGCGGACAAAAGGGCAGTAAGCGAAGTGCCCGATGCTGTCTGCCCCGCCGTTGCAGGATCTGCAAGGGCCGGGTCTGCCGCACCGCCAGTGCGTACACCAGCCGTCGCATAGAAGACGAAAGACTGCGGCTCATACCCGCGGTTGGCAGCGACGCCCAACCAGCTTCAAGTTGTGGAGCGCCAGTGCCAGTCTGTGACCTGGGAGACATGTCACTGGCCAATGTCTGAACTCCTTCCGCAAGTACATCCAAGCGTCCGCACGCACCGGGCCATGCGCCAACTCGCGGTGCCACTTTTCTGCGGCTGGGTTGGCGCGTCGATGAGCCCTGACGCGTTCGGCAGCCCTGCTCAGACTGAGGATAAAGCAGCCGTCCCTCCACGCGAGCAGGCAGCAATGCCTGTGAACCGATGCCTCTGTGCTCCCGCAAGACAGCTGCTGAATGCGCCGCAACCTCTGGCGAATGCGCAGACGGCCCCCTGCTTCCCACTCAACCACGCGGGCTTTGGAAGCCGGGAGAATTGAAGGGAGGCCCGTCAGCTGATCACATAAACCCAAGGTCTTGAGTCCATGAACGCATTCTGCGGTGATCCAGTCCTTTGGGCCAAGTACCATCTTCTTGAGGGACTGGGCTTCCTCTTGCAGGAGTTGCGGCGGAGGGTCCTCCAACTGGCCCGCGAACCACAGGACCCGGTAGGCCTGCAAGGTCAGAAGCAAGCCGACGCCCAGACGCCCCCAGAGAGTGGCCCGCTCGCTGTACTTTCGCAGCGGCGCGGTCCAGGAAGCGAAGCCCTGGCCATGGCCCAAGTACAGGCCGAGGTACTTCGCTGCGCTTTGGATTTGCACCCCTGCCCATCCAGGGGCCTCGGACACAACCCGCTCCCGCAGCGTCCGCGTGAGCTCCTGAGAGTATGGGTATGAGTGCAAGTATGAATACGACTACGAGTATGAGTATGCGTCTGCGTATGAGTATGAGTATGTGTATGAGTATGGAAACAACATCGTAGGAGTAGCGAAAGAGAAACTGAGTGTGAGTAGTGTGAGTGAGTCTGAGTGCGAGTAAGCCTGAGGATAGTCTGGATATGAGTGAGCCTAAGTACTAGAGAGTCTGAGTGAGTCCATCTCAAGATTGAGAGAGTCTGAGTGAGTCCGAGGAAGCCAAAGACAAAGAAGGAGTGTTCCAATAATCGGCACCGTCGAAATAATACCCAGAACCCATTTCAAGAAATGGGAAACACAATAAGCCGTTCCTTGCGCAGGTAGAGATGGGAAAGGATGCGGAGCCCAGAGCTATCGACAGCGCGCGGTGCAAGAGGCACCACCTGAGCCTAGGCGCGGCAAATGGTCAAATAACCATGACAACGCACCCAACCATTGGAGATCTTGCTGCGGCTCACTAGCAGTCAGGCCAGGGAGTGCACCATGGATTGCCGATTATGTGCCCATTATGGATGGACGCCGACCGAATCCAAAGCTCTACCTCTGGCATGCAATGTACAAATGCAAACGTATGTATATACATACATTATACATATATACATACAGATACGTGATAGGCCCCCAGGACCCCGCATTCACAAACTCGAGAACCGTGGATTCAACATACAGTGTGGGTGTCGTGGCTCTCTCAATATGTCCCTCTTGTTTCTCCTCCTCTGCTGGCACGCGTACACTAATCATCCTCCTCTTCACTCTACTACATCATCCTCCTTTGTCATCATTCCTCTTTCCTCCCCCCCATTTTATACCACGCTCATGTGTCTCCACCTACACAGCCACCCCGAAGGATCTGCGGAACAATGGCTGCAACTCGGTTGCGAAAGTCAAAGGGATCCTAGGACGAAGCTATCCGCGCGGACCTCCAAACAAATATGTATGCCGTCGGTTGCGTCTTTACCCCGCCACGCCACACAGCATATACACACGTTGACTTACCCAATCCACCCTCTCTGTCTTTTGCAGGCGAATTCCACTCCACTCCCTGGCCGCCGGACCTAGCCGAAAGAAAACATGTGGTGGCGTCTTCTCTCCCTAGGTGACTCCCAGCGGCCCGCCAGCTGCGCCGAAAGAAAGAAGCCTTTAGCAGCGCCGCAGGGACGCTCGCAGCCTTCGCTGGGAGATGCCCCAAAAAGCCGGATCGGAGGCCGCCCTAATGGACCGGCGCGGATGGGGTCGGAGGAGCGCACCGCATCGCCGATGCATGTGCGATACACTGGCGACGTCGGGATGGAGAAGATCTGGCTCCAGATCGCGGCGAATCCCCATGCCGCGCGATCCTCCGAACGCATCCGCTCCGACACGATTTGGGCAAGTCGGAAAACGCGCGGTCACAGCGGCGTGGGGAGCAGACCTTGGCTGCAGGGTATGCGGCGATGATCTGGTCGGTCCCGAAGATCGGAATGCTCCGAACCCCCAGAAAAGCCCTGTCCCTCCCTCCTCCGCCAAGACCTCCACCTAATCCTCCCCTTCCTCCTCCCCCTCGTCCTCCTCCACCTCCATCGCCATCATCAGCATCATCCTCATCACCACCATCACCACCACCACCACACCACCACCACCTCCATCATCATCATCATCATCATCATCATCATCATCATCATCATCATCATCATCATCATCATCATCATCATCATCATCATCATCATCATCATCATCATCATCATCATCATCCGCATCATCATCCTCATCCTCATCATCATCATCATCATCATCATCAGCAGCAGCAGCATCATCAGCATCACCAAACAACAACAACAACAACAACATCATCATCATCATCATCATCATCATCAGCAGCATGATCATGATCATCATCATCATCATCATCATCAACAGCATCAGCAAAATCATCATCAGCAGCATCATCATCATCGTCATAGTCATAATCATCATCAGCAGCATCATCATCAACATAATCATAATCATCATCATCATCATCAGCATCATCATAATATTCATCATCATCATCAGCAGCATCAGCACCAGCACCACCACTACCACCACCACCACCATCACCATCACCTCATCATCATCATCAGCAGCAGCAGCATCATCAGCATCATCACCATCACCACCAACATCATCATCATCATCATCATCACCATCATCGTCATCAGCATCAGCAACAGCATCAGCATCAGCATCAGCAGCATCATCATCATCGTCAGCATCATCATAATCATCATCATCATCATCATCATCATCATCGTCATCGTCATCACCTGCATCGTCATCATACACGGCAGCAGCATCATTAACATCATCACCATCAGCATCATCAGCATCATCCTCATAATCAGCATCAGCATCATCAGCTTCATCAGCATCAGCAGCATCATCGGCATCTGCATCATCATAAGCAGCAGCAATATCATCGTCATCGTCGTCACCATCATCATCATCATCAGAATCAGCATCAGCATCATCATCATCATCATCATCATCATCGTCATCCTCATGGTTATCAGTATCTTCATGTTCATCTTCATTATCATCGTCATCGTCATCGAAATAATCACCATCACCACCATCATCAGCATCAGCATCATCATGTTCATCAGCATCTCCAGCATCGACATCCTCATCATCATCGGCATCATCATCATCAGCATCAGCGTCAGCATCATCATCAGCATCATCATCATCATCATCATCATCATCACCATCAGCAGAATCATCATAATCATCGTCATCATCATCTTCATCATCAGTAGCATTGTCATCGCCATCGTCATCGGCATCATCATCATCATCATCAGCAGCAGCACAATAATCAGCATCAGCATCATCATGATCATCATCATTACCATCAGCACGAGCAACAATACCATCATGAACTCCCACGGGTACTTCATCTGAGCTCTGCCCACCCTCCCCTGACGATATCCTACTCCTGACCCGACACTTCCGCGCACAGGTTCTCCAAGCCCAAAGCCCACCAGCCCTCTGGGCGTAGGTGGTCTAGGGACCTTCCTTTGCAACCCCTTCTACCCCTTCGGGGAGGGGTTTACCACTGATCCCTCTTAATATACACCCCTTCCCCCACGCAACGCGGCCAACCAGGAACCATGATCTTCCCACCAACACCGTCCCTGTCCAAAAAACTATGATACCAGAGACAAACCCAATGATCGTCGTTCTAGGGCTATAGGGCTATAGGGCAAGTGGACTGTAGGGCGATGGGGGCATGGGGCTATAGGGCTATGGGGCTATAGGGCCATCGGGCTATAGATCTATAGGGCTACAGGGCTGTAGGTCTATGGCGCCATACGGCTATTAGGCTGTAGGGCTACAGGGCTATGGGGCTATGGGGTTCTGGGGCTATGGGGCTATGGAGCTATAGGGCGATAGGGCTATAGCTTTATAGGGCTATGGGGCTATAGGGCTATAGGACCATAGAGCTGTAGGGCTATAGGGCTATGGGGCTATGGGGCTATAGGGCTATAAGGCTATAGGGCTATAGGGCTATAGGGCTATAGGGCGATAGGGCTATCGAGACATAAGGCTATAGGGCTATACGTTTATAGGGCTACAAGGCTATAGGGCTATTGGGCTCTAGTGCTACAGGGCTACAAGGCTTTAGGACTATAGGGCTATAGGGCTAAATGGCTACAGGACTATAGAGCTGTAGGGCTATAGAAGTATAGGGCAGTAGGGCTATAGGGCTTGGGGCTATAGAGCTATAGGGCTCTGGGGCTATAGGGCTTTAGGGCTATAAGGCTATAAGGATGTAGGGCTATAGGGCTATAGGGCTATAGGGCTATTAGGCTATAGCGTTGTTGTTCGGCTATGGGGTTATAGGGTTCAAAGGCTATAGGGCTATAGAGCTATAGGGCTATAGGGCTATAAGGCCATGGGCCTATAAATCACCCGGGCACCTGGGCACCCAGGCACCCGGGCGGGCCGCGGACATCGGCGGAAAAACTGAATCAAAGTCTGTTTAGAGCTATAGGGCTGTGGGGCTATTGGGCTATAGGGCGACGGGGCTATAGGGCTATGGGGCTATAGGGCTATAGGGCCATAGGGCTATAGGGCTATAGGGCTACAGGGTTATGGAGCTGTAGGGCTATAGGGCTATAGAACTATAGTGCTATAAGACTATAGGGCTATAGGGCTATAGGGCCATAGGTCTCTCGGGCTATGGGGCTATAGGGCCAAAGGGCTATAAGGCTATGAGGATATAGGGTTATAGGGCTATAGGGCGATAGGGCGATAGGGCTATGGGGCTGTAGGGCTATAGGGCTATGGAGCTATGGGGATCTGGGGCTATTGGGCTATAGGGCTATAGGGCCATAAAGCTATGAGTATATAGGGCTATGGGGCTATGGGGCTATAGAGCTATAGGACCATAGGGCTATTGGACGACAGGGCTATGGGGCTATGGGGCTATGGGGCTATAGACATATGGAGCTATAGGGCTATAGGGCTATAGGGCTATAAGGCTATAAGGCTAAAAGGCTAAAACGCTAAACGACTATAGGGCTATAGGGCTAGAGGGATACAGGTCTATAGGGCTATAGGACTATAGGGCTAGTGGGCTATAGGGCTGGATTGCTATGGGGCTATGGGGCTATGGGGCTATAGGCCGATAGGCCGATAGGGCGATAGGGCTATACGGCTATTGGGCTATAGGGCTATAGGGTTATTGGGCTATGGGGTTCTGGGGCTATCAGGCTATGAGGCTATAGGGCTATAGATGTATAGGGATATAGGACTATAGCGCTATAGGGCAGTAGGGCTATAAGGCACCCGGGCACCTGGGCGGGCCGCGGAAATCGGTGACAAACCTCACATAACCATATGACTTCGCTCGAACCCCTACAGAGGCAAGCTCTGATTGAGGAATGAACCCGCTAGGACTCCTATTGAGGCAAGCTATGATTGGGGAACAAATGCGGCCTCCCCCCCACCATCCCTGTCAAAAAAATATCAAGTACACTTTGGGGCCAAGTCTTGAGTCATGTTCGTGAGGCCCGCGAGCACGTTGTATTGTGTTGACAGGGACGGCGGTGGTGTCAGCATATTGCCTGCTGTGCGCAGGGCTACCAAGTTCCCTAACGAAAAACAATACAACATGCACATCGCGACGTGACCTGGATCATGCGCGGCCACCCCACGACCACTGTCAAATGGTTTTTGACAGGGACGATGGGATGGTGGTGGCGTATGGCCTGCTGTGCGCAGGACTACCAGACACAATGATGGGCATTGGCTTTGGACATGGATGGTGGGGGCCAACATGTTCCCGATGTGTGCTGTCACGTGAACAGGCGCACCTGACACACTCTGCACGTGCCCTCCACGTAGCGTGCCTGGCGCGGCTGGAGTATGCGGCACACCTGGCGCACGCGGAGCACGTAGCGCATCTGGCGCACCAGCCGTGCCTGGCACGCCCGGGCCCCAGGGTGCCTGGCGCGCGTGGCGCGCCTGACACGCGTGGCGCACCTCGCCACAGCGTCGCGCACATGGAGTCGGTTTTGGTTCCCAGTAGCTGTCCATCCAAAGACGACCGCTGAACACACTCAAGCTCGGGTATTACTCATGTGATGAAAAAACAAGTGGGAGTGAGCTAGTAACTTGCTATTCAGGGGGTGTCTTGACCCCTCCCCCGTACCCCCCCCTGGACCTGGACGGGGAAATCCAAGAGGCGTTGAAGCGTCCAAGATGGCCCAAGACGACTCCAAGATTGCCTCGGAGTCCAAGATGGCCTCCAAGATGGCTCAAGATGCCTCAAGTTGGCTCAAGATGGCTCCAATAAGCTCCAAGAAGGCTCAAAGAACGAACGAACTCCGCCATCGCGGGGAGGCCCGGCGGCCCTGCAAGGGAGGCAGGCGCGCCTGTAGCACGCAGGCCCTCTACGAAGGCCACTGGAAGCGGAATTGGAAAATTATAGCCTCACTCAGCGCCACGCGTGCTCTATAAAACCGCTCCAAGAAGCCTCATGACCGCTCCAAAACGTGTCCAAGTGGCACGAGAGCTCCCCAAGGAGGACCACATGAGGCCAAGTCCCACCAGCCCTCTTGGCGTAGGTGGTTTAGAGAGTTTCCTCTTCCAACCCCCCTCTTCCCCTTCGGGGAGGGGTTCAGACGTTCCCCCGACCCCCTCCCCTGGACCTGGACAGGGGGGGCAGCGAGGTGTCAGGGCGTCCCAAACGGCCTCGACGAGGAAGCCAAAATCATTGGTTATACCAAGGTTTTGGCCCCATTTTGTCCTCTTGGGGGGGCAATGCGAATTGCGACCATCCCCTTCTATGATCGATGCCCTCCATTATGGCCCCTTTCGTACGGACGTGTATCATTCACCGGGGAAGCAGTCGGCCATCCAGAAGGGCGCTCTCGCCTCGGCACCCGC